GAGACACTTTTAGAGTAAACAAGGCACGTGTTCTGCATACGCTGCAGCATCTGGCATGTTGAGGACTTGGCGAGGACTCTCTGTGTGTTCAGATCCTATTTGTAGTGTCTGTTATGCTGACAACGCGATTTCTTTGGAGCCTGTGTGGATGTAATGCATACACATCAATATAAAAGATATATACAGAGCCGCGTCTTGAAAGTAAATGAGAAGATGGCTTGCAATAAGCAGTAGGCATGCGTCTCTGCAAACGTTGTCCATCAAAAAACAACAAAGAATGCACAGCCGTTAATAAACAGCACTGCTAAAAAGCTGGGTGTCCCCAAACTTTTGGTACGTTCTAGTAGGTTACAGTGGTTGTGATGGTGGTTCTGATACCTGAGCTATCTCCCGAGTCTTCGGCCCCCAGGCGGACGCTGGAGGATCGGGGGAGCGTGCCCTTGGCCTGTGGTTTAAAGATAGATGAGGAGAGCTCCTCGAGGGTGCAGCCCAGCAGATACGCGGCCTTCTGAGCCCATTCGTGTCTCGCAAACTGCTTACGTCCAGCTGAGAAAGACCAAAGTTAAATATCATTGCTGAAAAAACAAGATTTATATCACAAATATATCACATTCTGGCTCATTTATATCATTCATACAGCTTGTGGTGCTTGCTATAGTGAGCTCTAATCACTCCTGAGAAGAAGTCAGTGGTTTAAAGAGAAACTCATCGTAGAGAAACTTGCCGACTCAGATTCCTTTACAGTGGTGGTGATAGGGACCCGAAGACATGATGTCTACAACACAAATATAGCCATTTTATGTACTATTCAAACCCAGCTGTGAACCTACACGTGTCTTCAGACATCTGGTTCCTATCAGCACCACTGTAAACAATTCTGACTCTGTTCTGACTCTGAAGTTTCTCTAGTACAGAATTTCACATTAAACCACTCTGAATGACTTTGTTTATATTTTTACTGTCTACTTTCTATTGCGAGCTGGCTGTCCCATACCCTAACTCTTAAATCTACACTTGTAAAAATAATATTTAACAATGTTTTTTTGTATTATTTAATTTATTTTTATGTATGATAAATATTTAGATTTATCATACATTTAATTAATAAAAAAATCAAAAAATGCTATTTTTAGTTTTAGTCTGTAGGTGGAGCCTTATTTTAGCCACGCCCCTGCATTTTAGAGCAGGAAGTGAGACTGCATCCCTGTCCCTCATGACCACATGGTGGCAAGTTAGATACCAGTGTTTTAAAATAAAATGTGTCTGAAAATCAGTGTGGAACATTAAGAATTTTTGTGTTTTAATGAAAAATATTAGGATTTTATGTTTATCTGTTCAGAGTTGTGTTTGCTAGCCATGTACTGGCTAGCGATTTGAGTTCTGCTCAAAATTAGTTAAATTGTCCAAGTCCAAGTCAGTTAAAAGCAAGAAATGTGTTTTCAGCTCTGACTTTAAACCAATTCAGTAGAACGATCCATATATGCATATTTGAATGTTTTTTTTTTTGTCTAAAATGCATTTTAGACCATTTTCAAGAATTTTCTTTTTTTTTCATAATATACGTTTTCGTGATTGGGTCTTAACACATAAAACAAATATCAATGCTAAGTAATGATTAATACCACCTTTATAAGAGAAATAAATATGTGTTTTCCATTAAACACCAGCTGTTACACTTTTTAAAAACTTGTTACAAATGGATTTACGGCATTTTGGAATAAAACTCTTCATTTATACAATAAAGGATTAAAGAAAAAAGTTATAATCACACTCTTCAAAAGTTCTAACCACGTCTCCTTGTTCTGCAAATTCTCAAAATACACAATGACACTTTTAATCTTTGGGATTGATGATCAAAGAGTTTGGACACCGGAGAGTTTTTACAAGGAATGTTCTGATATTCCGCCACACGCCGCCTTAAGAGAAGCGCGGCCGAACATCAAACGCAGCAGACAGAGAGAGCTGTTGGCTGGAAGCCTTATCAGCAGCACAAGCCCACTGCTCTGCCCAACACAATGTTACCGAGGGAGGATGAAAGACACACACAGAACACTATTAAAATGCTAATAACAAATTGTCTGCTATCTACGATAAAACTGGCATATTCCGAAGAAAAAAATCATAAGAGGAGGTTTTTACCTTCATCTGACTCTGGGTTATGATGGGGGTCAGCATGCAACATCAGCGTGTGAGTGAGAACAAAAGGGTTAGAACGACAACTACACACTGGAGAGGAAAAATCTTAGAAGTTAAAACAAGTTCATTTATATTAAACATGCAAGCACACATTAAAATCACTATACACAATCTGTGGTGACACATGCAACTGAGTTTATAGAAGTGTACAGGCCTTGAGACCCATTAGCAGCCTCATTATAAGAATCTCAGCAGTGAGCTGAGTGATGAACACACTTGCTTAATGTCATTATTATCATTAACACCCACACACATTAACCTCATGTCACCCTCCACGAGGGAAGATGCCGATATAAAGAAAAGCGAGAGCGACGGGGTTTAAGTCTTGGCCAAGTGCCTTTCAAATCACTCTGCTGCCACTTAGTGGATGAGAGTAAGAATGCAATAAGGATGAAAGTGCAATAAAATGCAGTACTGTAAAAGTCAGAGACCACCCTTCAATTATTTAATTTCCATAAAATAGGCTTTGTATAAGTTATTCAGTTTTCCGGAGATGTTTCTGAGGAGATCAGATATGGAGTTAAATCAGTGTCACCAGAAGCTGAACGTGAAGTCTTGATGCTTGAAAAAAATACATGTGTAATTTGATGTTCTCAAAAATTCTCACTGCAATCTAACATTTTAGACATTTGAGTTTATGGAGTCTAAAAATTCAGTTTAAAAAAATCAGGTGATAAAACATTCAGGTAGTACGAAATTCAGGTTTAAAAGGTATAAAAGGTATGAAAGTTTCAGGTTCCAAAAATTCTAACTGTCCAAACCCGACTGCAGCCCAACAAAATTCTGTCCAAGCCCAACGGTAGCCTTACAAAATTCTGTCCGACAAAATTAGGTCAGACAAAATTCTGTCCAAACCCAACAGTAGCCCTACAAAATTCTGTCTGACAAAATTATGTCCGAACCCGACTGTAGCCTTAAAAATTCTGTCCAGCAAAATTCTGGCTGTACCCGACTGTAGCCCTAAAAATTCTGTCCAGCAAAATTATGTCCAAACCCGACTGTAGCCCTAAAAATTCTGTCCGACAAAATTCTGGCTGGACCCGACCGTGGCCCTAAAAATTCTGTTCAGCAAAATTATGTCCGAACCCGACTGTAGCCCTAAAAATTCTGTCCGACAAAATTCTGGCTGAACCCGACCGTGGCCCTAAAAATTCTGTTCAGCAAAATTCTGTCCGAACCCGACTGTAGCCCTAAAAATTCTGTCCGACAAAATTCTGGCTGAACCCGACCGTGGCCCTAAAAATTCTGTCCAGCAAAATTCTGGCTGAACCCGACTGTAGCCCTAAAAATTCTGTCCAGCAAAATTATGTCCGAACCCGACTGTAGCCCTAAAAATTCTGTCCGACAAAATTCTGGCTGAACCCGACTGTAGCCCTAAAAATTCTGTCCGACAAAATTCTGGCTGAACCCGACTGTAGCCCTAAAAATTCTGTCCGACAAAATTCTGGCTGAACCCGACTGTAGCCCTAAAAATTCTGTCCAGCAAAATTATGTCCGAACCCGACTGTAGCGCTACAAAATTCTGTCCGACAAAATTCTTGAATTCAGGTTCTGGTGACAGTGATTTAACTCCATATTAGATGTAAGATAATCCACTTGCATAAGGAAGGGGAAAGTGTTTAATATGTGAAATTCACATGAATATGTGAAAATGCAACCAACCTCTAAGACTGAACTTTGGAGGTGGGGAAAAATATCCCTGCAGATTTCTCTGAAAAACTGAAAAAAGAATGAAAGCTTAAATAAAGTCAAAAAGTGGACACTAAATACTGAAATGTCAAACTTCCTTTTTTTTCCTGATGCTGAAAAGTGAGGAACATATACTTAATGCCCATTTTCACTGGAAATCAAATAAATAAAGGATGGTCTCTGACTTTTGCACAGTCTTGTATGCGTTCATCAATGTATGTTTATTAATAAGCAGTCATATTCCAGAATCAGTCTTTGACCACATTTCAAATACGTCATTCATTATATCAACAAATAAGTGCTGATTCATTGAGAATGTTTCATTTTTGCTTATTTTTTAGATGAATAATCAAGTTTAATCAAGTAATCGTAACAGCTCTAGATCATATACTGTGCACAGCAACAAAAGAAGGGAAGAAAAGAGTGGAAAGCATGAGGAATAGATAAGTATATGTATAGCACTCGGCGAGGCGGTGTTTTTGGGTGATCGTTACCACTTTCATCAACGACTGAGACTGCACAGGGGGCAACATTAAACAAAACGAGCGTCAAACGAGTGACTAAGAATAGGCATTCATAACCATTAACATTCAGTCAATAACCATTATTGCACTTCCTGCTATTTCGCAGCAGAAAGGACAGTGATGAATTAACAAACTTGACAGATGTTATATCATAATTCATCTTTCAAAATACTTACAAAACGCATGCTTGTTTAGGGTGTTACACATAATAACATGCATTTCAAGACGTTATTCAATTCCACTGTGTGCAGCAGGGTTAAGGGGAAGTGTTTTACCTTTGGTGGCCCCTGCAGCTCCAAGGTGGTAGATTGCCCCCAGGACCAGCCAGAAGGCCCTCTGCTCCTCTGCTGAAATGTTCAGCACCTTCATAGCAGCCTGGAGCTTGGTGAACTGCTGTGCAGCTTTCTGCTTTTCCTCAGGCTGGGTGGGAAAAAAGCCAGTGTGTGTGAGTTAAAGCTTTTATTAGGCCTGAAAATGTAGTCCAGACACGAATATAGCACGAGTCAGACCTGAGCAGATCCACAGAATTAAGTTATGAAACTTCTGTCCAAATCCAACTGAAGCCTGTCAACTTTCTGTCTGAACTCGGCTGTAGGCCAACAAAATTATGCCCCAACCTGATTGTAGCCTGACAAAACTCTGTCCCAACCCAACTGTAGTTCGACAAAATTCTATCCGAACCCAACTGTAACCCAACAAATTTCTGTTCAAACCTGACTTCAGCCCTACAAAATTCTGTCCGAACCCGACTGAAGCCTGACAAAATTCTGTCCAAACCCGCCTGTAGCCCAACGAAACTCTGTCCAAACCCGACTTCAGCCCTACAAAATTCTGTCCAAACCCGATTGTAACCCGCCGAAACTCTGTTTGAACCCGACTTCAGCCCTACAAAATTCTGTCCAAACCAGACTTCAGCCAAACACTTCAGCCCAACAGACAACAGCCCAAACCTGATTGTAGCCTGATAAAATTCTGACCTCTCTGGTGGAAATATGTAACTGCATGCAACGTACAGAAGGACATTTTATAATGGATTATGCTTCGGACTCCTTCCTGGAACAGATGAATCTGATGACTGTGAGCGCATTGAAATAGTATTCAAAGAAAAGTCTGTCAAAATATGGTGAAGGACCGTAATGTTTAGAGCTGAACATCCAAAACAATGAAATCTGAACCCGACAAATATTTCACAAATGAATCCAACCAAACCAAATAATCTGGATCTGTCAGGTTTGAATCAACATTTCAAGACACTCTGCATTTGTGCCATCAAAGAATGTGTCACAGTGATGTCTACAGAATGAGTGAAGGAGCTGAGAGCACTTACCTTGGAGTGAGGCAGGATTCCAAAGGCGCTGTTCTCAGCAAAGTGGTTGAAGTGCAGTTCCGTCCTGAAGGACGCAACAAAGCAGAGTTAAAGGAGGGACTGAAAAGACAGACTTTTTCAGCCAAATTAAATCAGCTCTGTGAAGGAGTTCAGCTTACTTGAGAGAACCATCAGCTCCGGCCATCATGTAATAGAAAACATTGAAAGTGGATTCAGTCTCTGGTTGCCTGGCGATCCTCGACTTCTCCAGCAGCATCGTCTACAGGAAGAGTGGACAGATCTGAAATGATGTCTCTCTTAATGCAATAGTTTGCGAAACAATTTTCATCTTGCCCCAAATGTAGTTGATAGGCCAAGAAATGATTTGTGTCCAGTTTTTGCTTGGAGCTATGAGGCTATCGAGTAATGGAAGCTTCTACCTCACCAATTAGCACTGTGCAAAATGCTTGCCTGAATAATCGCACACTTGTCTAACTGGTTTCTGGGACTATTATCTTTTAACAGATAACAGGATGTGACACAGTGTCAGGAAGCAAGTTTATTTGAGATCACTTATCTTGGTGCGGTTTACTGATTTATGCATGGAGTGGTGGGGCTCCTGCTTCCTGTTAGCTACATTAGCCGAGAAGATCTAGTGCAAAAGTAAAAAAAATCAAAGTTTGGACACAGTGTGTTTGGAAAACAGTGCAAATTTGACTCTCTCGCTGATTTATCCCAACATTAATAAGGGGTCATCAGTCAAGGGCCAGTGTGGTTGCAGGTTTTCCTTCCAATTAAGCGGTTCAGAACAAGCTTTTTCATTTTTCAGTGTCAGGAAAAAAGTACAAAATATGTATTTAGCAGATAATTACATAGAAACCTCAACAACTAAATATTAATTTGTTCAGCATTTAGAGTGTCCACTCTTCCTGCCTTTATTACAGCTTCCATTGTTTTCAGTTTTTCAGAGAAATCTGTAGGGATATTTTTCCACACCTCCAAAGTTCAGTCTTAGAAGTTGGTTCTATTTTCTTCTTCTTGTGATCCAAATAATCCCAAACACATTCAGTGATGTTGAGGTCTGGACTCTGAAGTGGTCAGTCCATTGCTCTGACACTATGTTCTTTTTTGTCTGTTTCCTTTTCTCAGTGAGGCTTCTTGACAGCTACACATCCTTTCAGACTCATAGCGCTGAGTTCTCTTCTCACAGTGGAAGGATGGCTGTGGATGTTTTCAGATCAGAATTAAGAGTGGAGCTTGATTTTCTCCTCTCTCTCTCAAAGACGAAAGCTTTAAATGCTGTTTATCTAACAGTTTTGGTGGTCTAGAAGGTCTTGTAGGTTGTTAGGAGTCCCACTTTCTTTTTTAATAGTTTTCTGAACTCCAGGTTTGGAAACTCCTGTTGTTGTTTCTTTTAACCAACTTCCCCTTAACCTTCCCTTTCTAATGGGAGTGGATTATTTTATGTGTAATCTCCTCAAAAATATCTCCTGAAAAACGAATAACTCCTACTTAATGTCCATTTTGACTGGAAATTAAGTAAATGAAAACTTTTGCACAGTGATCCTGCTTGGTTGGAATAAAACCTACATCAACCCTGTCTCTTTGACACGAGACTGGTGACCCCTGACATAAATGATGGGATCAGTACTGGTGCTGAGTTTCTGATTCCTACCTGAATGGAAGCTGAAGCCACCTGGCCAGCCTGGTCAAAGTCAAGGGAGACTATATGGGAAAAGCGACTGGCATTTCCATTCATGGATGTACTGCAATTGCCAAAGGCCTCCAGGATGGTGTAGACAGCCTGCCACTTCTCAGCTGGGAAAAAGGGATAAGATTATAATCACAGCCAAAATAAAACTTTTTCTTTTTACACCATTTGAAATAACCAGCTGCCATTTACATTCTATGAACATTTCATGATTAATGCACCAGTAGAGATTTTGAAAAGCAAATCTTTCACGTTTTGGTACCCAAAACCACATAAATGCTGTGCAAAATGGTATGCAAAAGTTTGAACACCTAGTCAAATGACATGTTTTGTTGATTTTCTATGTGAAAATAAGTGAACACTTTCTCTACATAGAACAAACAGAAATTGTGCTGCAAATTTTAGTGCATTTTTTTTTAACATATTGGAAAAAAATAAAACATGAAATATGAAAATGTGCCATAACTTTAGCACCGGCCACATTTTATGTTTTCTTTCTTCCCCACAATATGTTAAATTAAGCAAATAAACAGTAATTGTGCATTAAAAAGTGCAGCGGTTTTTTCTCTGTATATTATGTGTTCACTTATTTACACTTAGAAAATCAACAAAACGTTATCTGACTGGGGTGCCCAAACTTTTGCACATGACTGTAAATAGAACTCGGGGGAAAAAAAATAAAATACAAGATGAATGTAGGATATGGGCCCTCTAAAACCCTTTTCAGTCACTGTTCAGATACATCATAGACAGCAACAGATTCTGCCCTCCAAAGGGGTCGGACATCATATGGACAGTGACTTGGACGCCTGATGACTTAAGAAATTCTGAAGCTTCCTTTTCAACCTCCCTCTCACCTGAATAGACTTTGCCACTGCTGCCTGCGATGGACACCAGGTACTGCACCAGGTGCTGGCAGTTGGTGGTCTTGCCACTGCCGCTTTTACCCAGCAGCACAATGGACTGGTCCTGCCGTGTGGTCAGCAGCTTCCGGTACGCGGCCTGAGCCACACCGTAGATATGTGGGGCCGTGTCCTCCCTCCGGCAGCCCTTGAACATGTGCATCACCTGAGAGGAACAGAGCAAGTTGAAGCTACAACTGAAGAAACACTCAGATTATTATAATTGTTAGTTTAGTATCACTGCACTGTAAACACATCATCATCCTCACAAAACCACCTGAAATTACAGCCATAAACATACGAGTGTCACATATGGATAAACATTCATATAATTCAGATCAACTGGATCTCTTTACAGTCTTCAAGGTTCTTTAGTAAAGAAAATGGTTCTCTATAGAACCATGAACACTCAAAGAACCCTTTGCATGATTAAAGGTTCTTTGCATCATGAAATGGTTCTTCAGACTGATGGAGGATGTGTTGTAGATGGTTCTAAATAGAACCTTTTTGAAAGGGGTTCTATAGAAGAACCCTTTTTGGTGCTATACAGAATCATTTTCAAAAAGGTTCTATAGAGAACCATCTGCAGCACAATCTCCATCAATCTGAGGAACCGTTTCACGATGCAAAGAACCTTTTAACATATGCAAAGCATTCTCGGATCTATATAGAACCATTTTCTTTACTAAAGAACCCTTGCAGAACCGTCTTTTTTAAGTGTGTGGACTGGAAATTAAACAAAGGAGTGATCTCTGACTTTTTGAACAGTACACTCTTAAAAAAGATGGTTCTTGAAGGGATCTTTTATAAAGGGAAAGGTTCTATTTAGAACCATGCGTTTTATATAGAGCAATTTTAAGCTTAAATGGTTCTTTGCATGGTGGAATTGTTCTTCAGATTGATGGAAAATGTGCTCTAGATGGTTTTATATAGAATCTTTGTAAAAGGGGTTCTATGTAACACCAAAAAGGGTTCTTCTATTATGACGATGTCAAGCTTGTAACAACAGAAGAACCCTTTCTGGTGCTATGGCTTTCAAAAAGGTGCTATATAGAACCATCTACAGCACATTCTCCATCAATCTGAAGAACCGTTTCGCGATGCAAAGAACCTTTTAACATGCAAAGCATTCTTGGTTCTATATAGAACCCTTGAAGAACCATCTTTTTAAATGTGAAAATTAAACAAACAAAGGGGTGATCTCTGACTTTTTGAACAGTATGGTACATTCTTAAAAAAGATGGTTCTTGAAGGGTTCCTTTATAAAGAGAATAGTCTGTCTAGAACCATGAGTTCTATATAAAGCTGTTTTAAGCTTAAATGGTTCTTTGCATGGTGAAATGGTTCTTCAAATTGATGGAGAATGTGTTGTATAGAATCATATACCACACATTCTCCATCAATCTGAAGAACCATTTCACCATGCAAAGAACCATCCATCCATCCCATCATCTAAACCGCTTATCCTTCTGGGTCGCGGTGGGGTGCTGGAGCCTATCCCAGCTGTCATTGGGCGGAAGGCAGGATACACCCTGGACAGGTCGCCAGTCCATTGCAGCATGCAAAGAACCATTTATGCATAAAAGGTTTCTATATAGAACTCAAGCTCCTAAATGGAACTATTCTCTTTACTAAAGAACCCTTGAAGAACCATTTTTAAGAGTGTAGGTTTACAGGTTTCCCTGCTCTAACACACCTAATGCAACTCATTAAGGGCTTAACAGTGGATCAGGTGCTTTAATCCCTCTTACCTTCTCGGAGTACATGGACGGAGCGCTGGCGGGGTTGATGAAGACGATGTTGGGCCCAGCGTACGTGTAGATGAGGTTCCCTCCGAACCGCTGACGCAGGGAGTGCATGACGCTGGATTCGTTCAGGTACAGCAGCCCAGACAGGTCCTCCACACGGTCGTACGACGGAGGGTTTGCCTGTGAGAGAGACAGAGAAGCATAATAAACCATGCGTGTTTATACAGATTTCAGGGAAATGAATAAGATGACTATTATCCAATACAAGTTGACCACAACAGGGACAGAATAGAATGGGTTCATAAACCATACAGTGCAAAAGTGTGGGCACCCCTAGTCAAGTATGTACACATTGTTAAAGTTTCAAAACATACAGCTATACAGTCCATATATATGCAAGCTAAACAGCAAAAACAGCCAGTGTTGAACTCACTGTTTTTGTGATGCCACAAAAACTAACATATAAACATATATTCGCTTATTTCGGCCTACAGCAGTTTAGCCCCGCCCCTTCACACTGATGTTATAACAAGTCTTACAGCACAGACTGCCTTTGGAATGAGGCACAATATAGGTCAGATGTCATTTACATACTGTCGTATGCAAAGGTTTGGGCGCCTCGGTCAAATTGTGTTTTGTTGATTTTCTAAGTGAAAATAAATGAACACACCCTCTACAGAAAACACACTTCTGTACATTTTAATGCACAATTACTGTTTATTTGAGTTTACCATAGTGGAAAAAAAAATAAAAAAGCATAAAATGTGGCCTGTGCAAAAGTTATGACACATTTTACATTTTTTAATGTGTTAAATTCAATAAATAAACAGTAAATTGCCCTTTAAAATATGCAGAAAACCACATATTGAACTCCTCTGTACAGGAGGAGCTCATTTATCTTCACTTCTATTGAAGTGAATATTGTCTATTAGAAAGTAAAACAAATGTTGATGTAATTACATATACACAATTAATCATATAACTAATTAATAAAGTAACTCCATTTAAGTAGTATAATAAAAATGACAACACTCTGCACTATTACTGGTTGAAAAGTGAATTAATGCCCTCCCACAAAAAGACCATCGCTGGCTGGAGCCCAAACAGCAGACGCAGGCCTAAAGACAGACCTCTGTGCTGCTTTAATGGATGTGTGAAGACTCCAAGCAGACGGCATCCCAGAACATTCCTCACAGCTTTTACTGTCAGGTTAGTGGCTGTCATTTGGCATAGCGCCCGGGGTGCTAAACTGTCACCCCAACCACAGCAGGTCATACATCTCCACTAATGACACATTTTAGCCTTAGACAAGAAGCAGAACCTGGCTCAGATCACTGAGCCCTCGTGCTAATTACAGTCTTTATTTTTAGATCAGAGCTTATCATAGTGAATTAAGTCAGTGGGTGAATTATGTCATATTGTGCTTCGTTTTCACTGGTGGATCAAATCATACTATGGTCTTAGCAAAGTGTGTAGAAGTTCTACGGTATATACTATATAATACAAGAGGTTTGATTGTCCTACCAAAAAAAAATGACATATCACAATATTTTGAGTCATTTTTACAATGCAGCTTTGACTGCCTTTAATTATGTACAATCTGCTCTGCGTCTGATTCACAAAACAAAAAAATCATACAACATGGAAATAAGCAAAGATTTAAGCTCAAATGCAATTCAGCTGCAGTGCGTGAAATCAAGCGCCAGTCTAGCGGTACCTCATTTACATACTGTTTACATAAATCATGCTCTATTTCATGCAGATGTTTTTGTAGGGAGCCAACAAAAAGTCAGAATTCAGAGGTTGGTGGGCCAATGGATGTGCTCATTGGCGGTCGAGCAGTGAATGCACTGCTCCCCCTAGTGACCAAACTGTAAAGTGTTAAAATTACAATGGCTGGAAGGAAATAAACAAAATGTCTTAGTTTTGTAAGATAGTAAAATGATGTGATTGTGTAGTCTGCTTATTTTCTTAGAACATAATGTGTATATATATATATATATATATATATATATATATATATATATATATGTGTGTGTGTGTGTGTGTGTGTGTGTGTGTGTGTGTGTGTGTGAATATATATATATGAAAATATATTTGAAATATTTGAAAATACAAGTTGTCCTTTACATTATGTGTAAATTTAATTGAAAAATGGACAAAAAAAGTTTTCTTCCAACAACGGCGATAATATTAGTTCTTATAATAATATTCTTAATTTTTCATGTAAGTTAATGTAAAGAGTTTACATTTCTAGCATTTTTATTGGTACATTCATCCCAAAATTGTTACAATGTGAAGGGCAAAATTTTCACATGATATAAAGAGTGCTGAGCTAAATTTATGCAGAAAACTAAAAAGGGCAGAACAGTGATGACAGTGATTTCACAGTTAAACTGTGTACTCCAGTATACTCCAGAAACCGTATTTTGTCATAATTTATCAGAGTGATAAAATATTAACATATCACCAACCCCTAACGACCACCCTCCATTGATCTCAGTGAGACACGTTTGCCGTGTAGACTTGGTGGACGGAGGCAAACAACCGTTTTCTCATCAAACACAAAAAATCATATGTGTGTTGCCTTTCAAGGTTACAAGTAGACCCTGTGAGCGAGTCGCTCACCAGCCCCACGTGACCCACCTTCTCCACGTCATCCTCATCCACCTCCAGCAGCGTCCCATCATGCTCCAGTCTAATCTTCACCTTCCCCTCGGGCAGACTGCCCTCCTCTGTCTTCAGCTGTGTCGCTACAGAAACAGAGACAGACACAGGGATTAATACAGCTGGTCTATTCAAAGCTTCCTCTCCAGCCCGAGCAGGCTGCTCAGCACCCGGTGTAGACTTACACAGTGTCATGTTTGTTTTTGTAAGGAAGGGCAGACGTATTGGAGAAATGAATTTTTTATGAAATGCACCACGTCTACAAGCTGCTAGACCTGGCAGATGGGACAGTGCACAAGATATTACAGGGTTTCTCAATCCTGGTCCTCAAGTGCTGCACTGCACATTTTAGTGTCTACCCTGCTCTAACAGTGACAGTAACTGAACAGTGACTGAATTGTGTCAAGGTCCAGTCGGGTTCAGACAGAACTGTTGTTATGCTACGGTCGGGTTCAGACAGAATTTGTTCAGCAACAGTCGTGTTTGGACAGAATTTTACAGAATTTTGTTGACTATGTTTAGATTGGTCAGATTTTTTTTGACTACAGTCAGTTTGGGCAGAATTTTGTCAACTACTGTCCGGTTTGGACAGAATTTTGTTAACTACAGTCCAGTTTGGTCAGAAGTGTGTTAACCACAGTCCAGTTTGGTCAGAATTTTGTCAACTACAGTCCAGTCTGGTCAGAAGTGTGTTAACCACAGTCCAGTTTGGTCAGAAGTGTGTTAACCACAGTCCAGTTTGGAAAGAATTGTGTGAACTATAGGTGAGTTTGGGTTTTATTAAGTACAGTTGGGTTGGAGCTAATTTTGTTGACTACAGTCAGACTAGGACAGAATTTTGCGAGCTACAGTCAGGTTGGACCGAAATTTGTTGACTACAGTTGGGTTCAGACAGAATTCTGTTAACTACAGTCAGGTTAGGACAAAATTTTGTGAGCTACAGTCGGCTTCGGAAAAAAATTAATTAACTACAGTCGGGTTTGGATAGACTTTTGAGTACAGTCAAGGTTGGGTAAAATTTTGTTGACTACAGTCCAGTTTGGACAGAATTGTATTAACTACGATCCAATTTGGTCAGAATTTTGTTAACGACGGTCCAGTTTGGTCAGAATTTTGTTAACTACAAACCAGTTTGGTCAGAATTTTGTTAACTCCAGTCAGGCTTGACCGAATTTTGTTGACTATAGTCAGGTTAGGACAGAATTTTGTGAGCTACAGTCGGCTTTGGGAAAAAAAATGTATTAATTACAGTCAGAATTACAGACAGAATTTCGCTAACTATGGTCGGGTTGTACAGAATTATGTTAACTAGAGTCGGCTTTCGGAAACACTTGTCAGTTACAGTTGGATCTGGACAGCATTTTGTCAGGCTACAATCTGCTTCACGCAGAACAATGTTGGGCTACAGTCAGCTAGTTTTCAGGCTATATTTTGTCTCACTTTGAAGTTTCAGGTCCAATCAAAGCTCACTTTGTCATCAGCTGAGTAGTTTGATGAGCTGCATTAGGGCAAGCAACAGACCAAAATATCAAATGCACATTATGTGTTTCACGTGAACGTCTCACAGCATAAAAACCCCACTGACCTAAAGAGAAGCCGTCCTTGTGAACCAGCCATACTTTCTCTGTGCCGTACCAGGCTCGTTCTGCAGCTATCTGTTCCTCTGTCTTCACCTGCAGAGAGAGAGAAGAGTTTGCAGAGTAATCAGTAACCAGTGTGATGATATAACCAGAAACATCTCACTTACCATGACCACACCTCTCTCCTATACTACAATACAGCACTACGAGGAGAGGGCCAAGCACTTGTTTGGTCCCTCTACCTCCAGAGGAGCATTAAGGACGATGGGCAGCGAGCTCATTCAGCTCATTCTCAAAGCCTCGATGACACACACAGTAGATACACACCAACAAAAATGGTGGACACATGACTGGGCGCGTGAAGTGAAACCCGACGTCCACTGTGGCAGTTTGACACAGTTTTTGTTCCTCATTTGGTAAATGGAAGCTTTTCACAACACTTCAATCAGACAGGACTATTCTGGACAATTCCTCTTTTCTCTATGTAATGTTGACCAAAAGCACTTTGCAGACTCAGAGCTGTGATGGAGCCTTGAAGTGTGTAGAAATCTGAACAGAAAGGCTGCAGCAACTCGTTCTTTCTGAAAATGACCCGTCTGCAGTGCTGGATCACAGTATACCATTTCTCCAGATGTCATATGCTGAAAGGTCGCTTATGGCTATAAATTGGAGCTGAGGAGAGCTGAACAATGGAAAGAGCTCAGAGGAGAGCGAGTGGGCGTTGTTCCTGGTAACATTACACTCAACCAAGGCTTGGAAGCAGAAATGGAGAGCAGGTGGAGGTGATGACATGTAATGCTTTATAGCTTTACCAGCTGAGGGGTCTGTTATAATGCACCTCTAATGGCAGGGCTCTGCTAGCTAGTTGAGTTTGAAATGTCACCCTGAAACATGCAATCATAAGCTGACTTTGCTCGGCCAAACTGAGCTTGTCTGGCCAGCAGAGAGAGCCAGCGGTCCACGAAAGTGCAGAACAGAAACAGCTCTACATGGCACAGCATGACACATGCAAGATCTGACATAAAGACACAGCAAACTACATGCAGATCAAACGCATCCTTTTTTTTTAACAATGAAATTTACACGATTTTCCTTTTACTCCGAGCATGTGGTGCCTAAATTTTGCTTCCTAGTTTCGCAGCACTGGAATTATATTATCAAGCTAGTGTTGCTAACAAGAAACTGAAGCTTATGACCACAATTAGCATCGTCCAAAAGCGGAAGAAAGAAACTGGGGAGAGTTGGTGGGGGGTTGGAGGGCATGGATTAGAAGACTCCAATCACCCCCCATTCAGGCCTGCTACTACTGTTTCTTCCGAGGCTACAGCTGTTTTACCAAGGCTACAGCTGTTTTTACCAAGGCTACAGCTGTTTTTACCAAGATCACTGCTGTTTTTACCAAGGCTACAGCTGTTTTTACCAAGGCTACAGCTGTTTTTTACCAAGGCTACAGCTGTTTTTACCAAGATCACTGCTGTTTTTACCAAGGCTACAGCTGTTTTTACCAAGGCTACTGCTGTTTTTACCAAGATCACTGCTGTTTTTACCAAGGCTACAGCTGTTTTTACCAAGATCACTGCTGTTTTTACCAAGGCTACAGCTGTTTTTACCAAGGCTACAGCTGTTTTTACCAAGATCACTGCTGTTTTTACCAAGGCTACAGCTGTTTTTACCAAGATCACTGCTGTTTTTACCAAGATCACTGCTGTTTTTACCAAGGCTACAGCTGTTTTTACCAAGGCTACTGCTGTTTTTACCAAGATCACTGCTGTTTTTACCAAGGCTACAGCTGTTTTTACCAAGGCTACTGCTGTTTTTACCAAGATCACTGCTGTTTTTACCAAGATCACTGCTGTTTTTACCAAGGCTACAGCTGTTTTTACCAAGATCACTGCTGTTTTTACCAAGGCTACAGCTGTTTTGTACCAAGACTACAGCTGTTTTTACCAAGGCTACATCTGTTTTTTACCAAGGCTACAGCTGCGATTTTAACTAGGCTACAGCTGTTTTTTACCAAGACTACAGCTGTTTTTTACCAAGGCTACAGCTGCGATTTTAACTAGGCTACAGCTGTTTTTTACCAAGACTACAGCTGTTTTTTACCAAGGCTACAGCTGTTTTTACCAAGGCTACAGCTGTTTTTAACAAGGCTACAGCTGTTTTTTACCAAGGCTACAGCTGTTTTTAACAAGGCTACAGCTGTTTTTTACCAAGGCTACAGCTGTTTTTTAACAAGGCTACAGCTGTTTTTTACCAAGGCTACAGCTGTTTTTACCAAGGCTACAGCTGTTTTTACCAAGGCTACAGCTGTTTTTTACCAAGGCTACAGCTGTTTTTACCAAGGCTACAGCTGTTTTTTTACCAAGGCTACAGCTGTTTTTACCAAGGCTACAGCTGTTTTTTACCAAGGCTACAGCTGTTTTTACTAAGAAAATACGTTTGTTTCTTTTTTGTAGACAGTATCTCATACAGTATCAAAAACTACATAAGTAAGTTATTTGAGAATACTCAACAACTCACCACTGTTCCAGGCAAGAGTTGCCCAAAGTGTAGTTGTGCAGTTTGCACAAGGCTAACTGGTAGTCATAAGCTTCGATTACTCATTAGCTACATGAGCCTCGAAGATTCAGTAAAAAAACACAAGGTATCAAACTTCAGACACTAAGAATGTCTCATGGGTTGGAAAAAACTGTGTAAATGTTACTTTTCACCAAACTATCGTGTTAAGACAAGCTCTAATTCCATTTGGTGAACTGCCATATGGTAAAAATTCAAATACCTGTGCTTTATGACCACTACAAACATTTAATAGCTACTGTAGCATGATAATAAAAGAATTCCACAGCCAGAAACCAACACACAAACAAGCAAACAAACAAACAAACAAACACACATCACTTCTAGCAAACACAACACACTGTGAAGCAGAATACTGAGAGAGGATCGTCTGCATAATTCATGTGCCACAGCAGGTGGTTGAGCTCTGTACGGTCACCAGGCCCAATTCAAGCTCGTCCTCTCAGTATTGAACTGCTCACACAGCAAACGCATCTCTCTTCATACGCTGCCATCTGAAGCAGCTCTACAGCGCAGAGTACTACGTTGGAGTCATGCACAGCTATAAGCAGACCTTGGGTTGAGAGGCAGCTGCGTGGGCCGCCTGCAGGACAGCCACTGGGTCCTCCTCCGCCTTAGCCTGGAAGATGGAGATCACGAAGATGGAGAGGGCAAAGGTCATTCTCAGGAAAGTAAACAGATGTTGCACTTGGAAGATGCTTTTGGTTAAAATGGCAAAACTAAGGACAGGAATACAAAGTCTTTAGCCAGTCTGAGCAACACACTACACAGTGCAGCAGGTGGTCTAACAGCACTGCAGAGGAAACTGAATCATTACAGTGGGAAAAGGAAAAAGTGGGAGTGGACAAAAGACTGGCCACAGGCAAAGCCTCAGGCAGGTTAGGGAAAGAAGAAAGAAAGAAAGAAAGAATTAAGGGGAAAAAGACAAGAAAGAAAGGAAGTAAGAAAGAAAGAAAGAAAGAACGAACACAGACAGACAAAAAGAGAAAGAAAGAAAGAAAGAAAGAAAGAAAGAAAGAAAGGAGATAATTAAGGGGAAAAAGACAAGAAAGAAAGAGAAAAAAGAAAGAAAGAAAATGACAAAAAACAGAAAGACAGACATGAAGAAAGAAAGACAGACATGAAGAAAGAAAGAAAGACAGACATAAAGAAAAGACAGACATGAAGAAAGAAAGAAAGACAGACATAAAGAAAAGACAGACATGAAGAAAGAAAGAAGACAAAAAGACAGGCAGAAACAGAAAGAAAGAAAGAAAGAAAGAAAGAGAGAGAAAGAGAAATGGAGGGAGAAACGGAGGGAGAGGGAGACACAGACAGAGGGAGAGTAATAAAGGAGAAAGCTTTGACCAGCAGACTGAGAGCAGCTCACCACCCAAACACAGACAGGTGTTCTGATGAGGCAGTTCAGAGGCGACTTTCATAAAGCAGGATTTCTCAGTAAACTGGATAACCCAAGTTTAAGGACTGTCCAATAGGAACGCCCCTTAGCTCCTCTCCTACTAGACAGGCCTGTGTTTTGGTCTAAGTAATCAGACTAAACAAGGAATCCTGCTTTGTGAAAAAAGCACACAAATCCCAGGAGAGAGTGTGACAGTGACTTGAATACAACGAACTGAAGACAAAAAGGTTTCAGCTAAAAGTCTGAGTGAACGAACAGCCCCATAAGATCACAACGAGAGCACTGGTCAGTAAATCAAGAGCACTGAGGCCTTTAGGAAAGCACTGAGGTCCTTCCACCCATCAGAAAATGCAAGTCAAAAGGAAAGCAATGAAGTAAGAATCATTAAGTAACGCTGCAAAGCATCTGGCAGACGAGGAGCGGCTGATAAATGATCCTCACTGTGGGGGGAAAGCAGAGAGATCAGCAGGACAGAGGGAGGAAAGACAGAGTGGAAAAAGGCAAAGGAGGAATAATCTGGGCAGTGGAAAAAAAAGGACTGTGAAGCTTCAGGTATTAAAAGTCTCTCGAACTTCAGCAAATTCCACTGCGGATTCAAAAATGCAAAACTACCTTGCTTTTAATGTGTAAGTGACTTTGTCTTGGGTTTGTGAAGCTCTAATGTGCTCTAATTACTGAATCAAATACAATACTTCATATTACAGGTTTAAAATGAAAACACATTTGAGTGGGCTTTGTAACACGACCACAAAGAGGAGAATGATGATTTGAGCATCAGAGCTTTGCAAATAGAAATATGGAAAACGTTAAAATAGGGCCCCATGTGTCAAACACAATGCCCGCGGGTCGAGTCAGGCCCATGACGCAATCCTATTCGGCCAGCGAAACTATTTTAATTTTCTATTCTTAGTAGCCCGTTTCACCCTGAGATGCACTACAGTCCCCAGCATGCACTGCAACATAGTGTGCGTTCTGACCCCCAACAACAATCTATGGGTCAGCGGTTGCACAAAAAGAAAAAATGCCTGGTATCCAGTTTAAGCAAATATGCAGTTTTAAAAAACTACCTAAAACAATATTTAGTATTATTTCTGTGGGGATACAATACAGTACAATT